CTCCGCGTCCGGGGAGCAGCACTGCTCCCTCGGCCGCGCCGGCTGACAGAGCCACCCTGCCTTTTTGAGAGCTAGGCTGAAGCTAGACCAGAGGCGATTGCCTCTCAGAGCAGCCGATTCTGACCAGGCATAACTGAATTAACCGACTTAACAATACCAGTTAAGTGTTACTGACTTCGTAGCTTTCTAACAGATATTTGGAAAAATAGTACTATACTTCTGATCATAATTACTTAAATGCAACCATTCTTGACAGTCATGATGAACATCATGGAAATATTTTAGATTTCCAATATTTTACTTCCACCAGCTCTGCATTCTGACATCACCATAAATCCTGTCCAGCTGTAAGTACCCCTTTCTGTATCACAGGGTAGACATCCATTTTAAATGTATCCATGATATGGATACCTTTGCAGAGGAAAAGAGTCACATGGAGAAAATCCACTGCTGAGGAAAAGAGCTGCTGAAGGAATACCTGAGTAGTACAGATAAGCTCAATGAACAAATCAGCATGTTAGAGCTGGCCACTGCACAGACTAGACCCAATTTTTATGCCATTCAAATAGCTTTTCTTCACTTGTAAAGGTTAAGGGTGTTAGGTTTATCATTACCTGCTAGCCAGAAGCTAGTGCTTCGCCACACTAGACATTTCTTACTTTACATCACTAAAGCATCTCACTTCAAGGGCCTCTCCACTTTAATAGGAGAAGGAGTGATCAATTCTCTAACTCTGTTCTGAGCTGCAGATCAGTTCCACTCTTCAAATTGCATCCAATTGTGTTCCTTTAAAGTCTGCCAGTTTGGAAAGTAAAAAGCAATCTCAATGCCCACAGAATATTAGGGCCTTCAAGCCCTGCACCTGTGAGTCATCTTCAGCCATGGAAGCAATGCCTCTCTCATTCCTAGCGAAGTGTGCTAAGCACATAATGAAAGGCACCACTGAGCAAAATTCATATCACATCAGGAAATGGAATGTCTAGGAAAGTATGCACAGTTATTTGACAGTTATTGCAATGACTTTCAAGGAAATTGTGATCATACTAAGGTTGCAATCTATACAAAAATGCAGAAGGAAGTTGCTGCTCAATTACTCTATGGACAGAGCTAATGACTGTCAGTGCTTCTAGTTAAAAAAAAAATGCCATTTTTCCATTTCTAATAATTTTCCAACTTTCACTAGAGATAAAGTCAAAGAACAAATCAGCGTGTTAGAGACAGCTATAGCTCATACCAGATCCATTTTTCATAGTATTTGGAAGTCTTTGAGCTTGAAAAGGTTAATGACAGCCTGACAAAAGTGTTGGTTTGTCATTAGCTGAAGTCTTCCATGCAAGTGACGTGCTTTTGGCTGGTGGACTTTATATGTAACAGGGTTTAGGGGAGAGGGAGGTGTTTGGGGTTTTTTTGTTCTTAAACAAAACAACTCAGGTGAAGTCACAGAAACATTTCCAAGACTGAAACTGTGAAAAGTTTACCTTGCCCATATTACAGAATTCTAGCAATCTATTTTTGCAAAGGTCCAGCATCCCAATGCTCTGTACCATGGCACACCAAAGCCAATCCTTTTGTACCAAAGTGCACTTGTTGTCTTTTTGAAACCTGCACTGTAACATCTCAGATTTTTATTGGATACCTCATCGGTTTTAACAGCTAAATATACAAGAATGCACCTTCAGGGAGTGGAATTTTATCTACAGCTGCAACAGTAAATTATGCTAAACGTGTGCATCTGCAGAAATGCACTTGGACTATGATGAAGGAGAGTGCTGTGCGTTCTTTAGCTGTGCAGAAAAGGAAGCTGCCAGACCTGTGGGACTGCTATTTGGGTTTGAAGACCCTACTCTACGATGGACAGAGCACCAGAAGTGAGACAGAACAGCAAGGAGTTCAACCGTCTGTGCGGGGTATTTGAAAGAGGGGAGGGTGAAGATGAAGAGCTGAGGTAGAGACACACTGGCTGAACAGGGAGCTCAGACCATTCCCTCTTTCCTCAAGAGGGGAGAGAAACTAGAGATATTGGCAGAGGCTGTTCAAGGGGCCAGGAAACAAAGTCAGGACTTGCTGGACACTGGAGAGTGTTCCTCTCTCTGTCCTCGGTCCTAGCATGCAATGACCGACGAAGCAGCAGAATCAAAAATTGGTGCGGAGCGAGGTGGAGAGGGTCATAGCTCATAACAATGCAGGAAAATTAGGTTCATTGTTCTCTTCCAAAACCTGAAGCAGAATCCAGGATTCTCATATCTCAGTCTTCACCTGGTCAACTTCACAGCAAGTGTCTGTGAAAGTTTTGGGTAGTGACTGCACCTTTCCTCTTCCTAATATTAGCCCCTGAAGACAGAAACAACTATGACCGTTGACCTCACATAGAGGATGTCTGCATGGTACCAAGCCTGCAGATAATCAGCACCCTTTCAGTATGACATAATAGCTTACATTTCCTCTCTTTTGCTGCATTTTTTCTAAAAAGGGGAGGAAAGTTCAAGAGAGAGAGATTTTTATAATACAGATTTGCAAGGAAATGAAATTAACATTTCCCTGATAATCTTAGCCCTAGCATTTTAAACAGACTTAGCAGTCTTCATTTTCATCTTTCTTTCTATATGACACCGTACATGTGGCTCATGTGGTACAAAGCATGTTGGCCACATGATTTGTGTGCCATGTCTTTAAAAGTTACTGAAGTCTCAGTATCAAGCAGCTGTCTTGACCTTTTTTGATGAGAAGCTGTTGGCTTCTGCTTGAGAGGAATGAAAGCCAACCACGCACAGAGCCTTGCGTGACAGCCCGGAGTCAGTTTATTTCAAATACATCAGCATAAGTACAGAAGCACAGAAGTTTAAGCAAACAGCAATGATCCATGTTAATAGCTTAGTATGATTTCAGGAGCAGTTCTGATGGCTAGCCAACCGTGATGCTGAGCGGTTCACAAATAAGATATGTGAACACTCTAACCTTGTTCAACCCATCACTATATATTTGCATCAAAAGATGTATTCAATAACTGTAGAATCTCTAAGCAATTGATTGAATCAGGGAGCAAGTTGTGAAAGCTCTGATTGTCACCAGGGAAACTACAGCCTTGTTTTGCATGTGGTCAGCCTTTCAGAGATGAGGCTATTACAAGACACTATCATAAGAAAAGACATGTCAAGTCTAATTTCCCTAGCTAGAAAATTCATTACTAGTACTAGTACATATAAAAGGATAAAATCTTAACTTTATAGAGGCTTCTGATGCTACAGTTTGTTCACTTGGCAAAATTACTGTCAGGTTTTCTAAAGCTTTGAATTCAAACACATTTCTCTTTGATCTGAATTATGAGATTTAAACCTGATTAAATGTAACACTTTAAGGAAGGTCTAAAAATAGATGTGATGTTGCTCTCCCCTCTAGAGGTTTTATGCAGAAAGTAGTAAAATGCACTAATCTGAAACCACTTTTAATATTAGTTCAAAAAGGTTCAATTGTGAGATTTTGAAACTCAGTCACTTCTGAGTTTAATCAAGACGCATTTGTAAATGTTAACATTCCTGATGGTATAAATCAGAAATTAATTTTAAATTAAACTATAAATAATCAAAATCACTTAAAAGAGAGGAAACATGCTAGTTTTAAGTAGATAGAAAATACTTCTGTGATAACAGAAGATCAAAGATAGCGTGGTCTAATTAAAATACAAAGTGCTGCACAAATATCAGAGGGATAACTACAGCTCAGACAGACATAATCAGGTAACAGTGCAGGCACCTGAATTCTTCTAGAATGCTCTCTCAGGTGTCTCCACTAGATCCAAACTCTGTATTTTGTAATAGACTGCATAGAAGGTTCATAGTAAAGCTGGGAACTGAACCTAGCTTTATTGTGCCAGTAAACTTTACTCTTCCTAAATAGTTTAAGAGTTTTGCTCATGTTACATCAGTCTATTGGGGAACAGAGAGATTCAAGCCTGAACTATAGGTTGTATTATTAGAGGTAGCTAAAAATGAACTTTAATCTTAAATTCTGTCCCTGTTTTCTAGTCGTCTTGCTTTCTCTACTCAGACATGTCCCCTGGTTACAAAGAAGGCTAAGAAGCTTCTGTATTACAGAAATTTCCCACAACAGAAGGTTGAACTCCTGATTCAAGTACCGGCCTTTGGGAAAGCAACTTTCCAGTTCTGGAGGACAACAGCTCCTGCCACTTCCACTGCAGCTATTTAAGCTAGGTAATAGAACAAAAAGAAAAAAAAAATCAATAGTCAAATTGTGCCTATTTATTTCAGATGGATACACTACTGATGATATTGAATTTTACTGGAATGGAGGAGTGTCTGCAGTAACAGGTGTTAACAACATCGAGCTCCCACAATTCTCTATTGTTGATTACAAGATGGTATCAAAGAGGGTGGAATTTACAACAGGTAAGCACTATCTAGTTCCAAAAAAACCCAAACCAGAAATATCAATGTCTAACTTTTCTTAGGCACTAGTCATTATATGACTTCTTTCTTTCAGGAGCATATCCTCGATTATCACTCAGTTTCCGGCTTAAAAGAAATATCGGATACTTCATTTTGCAAACCTATATGCCTTCCACATTAATCACAATTCTGTCTTGGGTATCTTTTTGGATCAATTATGATGCTTCTGCAGCCAGAGTTGCTCTAGGTAACTTATTTTTAAAATCACCGGTATACATAGATACTTACTGTATTTAAACACACTAGCACCACTTCTGCATGACTGATTTCAGAAATACAAAGTGATCTTCCTACTAGTCTGTACAGTACAAAGAACACAGTGTTTGCATGAAGCTAATTTTTGTGGTTAGCATTAGCTAAATCCTGTGAGGTAGCAAGTAGAATAATACTTGATATCACACCCATGTTTGGTTGATTCTTCCCCAAGTCATGTCACAACACAATGCCTAATTTTTTAGATCTCTAAGCAGCACAAATTTGTCAGGCTGGTTCTGACCAATAATACATCATTTAGTAGTCTGTCCAGCAGTGCAGCTTTAGATCATCATGCAATTATCAGCTTGCCTACACTAGGAGTTCTTGCTCTGCAGTTAGGTTGTGATCCTTACTGACTTCCAATTGCCATAATGATCAGGCCATTAGTATGTTGCTTCCGAACTGAAGCATGAAGGTGTAATTCAAGTATCTAAAGGTCTCTATATTGTGCTGTATCAATATTTTAGATGTTAAAAGGAGTCACCTCAGGCCAAACGTATGGATGGAATGAATACACATGATCCTACTGAAAATCAAAATATACCAAATAAACCTGTTTTACACACATGCTTGCTTATTTCCCACACCATGTTACTTGCTACAACTTACTGTAAGAACCAAGATCTTCTGCCACCATATATGCTTTAAGGCTGATCTGCTTTTCAAAACCTAATGGCAGAAAAACACTTTATCCCACCTCTCTTTAAATTCAACTCATTATGCCTGTGCCTAGAGCTATGAGATATATTAATGACCTGTGATTAGAGCAGACTAGAAAATAATTTTGTCCAGCCAGAACAAGATAAAAACGAGTCGTACAGTGACGAATAACATGGTGAGATGGAAGTGTTTCACTTCACAGATCGCCCCTTTAGTAGGAAAAACCTGTTTCTGCACAAACATCCCACCTTCTCTTCACCAGTGACCGCCATTTTTTAAAGTCATAAAGCTCCCCTTTCTGCATTCAATCCTTTATTTTTCATCAAAACTTCAACTAGATACTTTTTCCAGTTCCCCAGGACAATGCAGTCCACTGTATGAGTCAAGCAGTGCTACTACTCTAAGTAAAGTCAGAAGTGTGTCCTTGCAAAAAAGTGGTTATTCTGATCTTTCTATGCCATTCAAATCAGCTAACACTGGACTGTCTTCTGTAAATTACATGCTCATTGTAACAGTTGAGGTGATATATACTGAGATAGCAACGGGGGATCCCTAGGCACTTGTAGGCAATTTCATTCACCCTCTATTGTACAGGAACATCAAATAAAGGAGATGCTATCAGCAGGTGTGCAGATCTAACTGTGTAATACACTGCTAAGAAGGAGTGACGTTGTGGCATAGATGCACTACGTTCTGTATCACTGACACCTTGGATTACTTTGTACTACCTAGGATAAGTGATGTGCCGGTAAACTATTACCGGTAACATTTCCCTTCTAGTTCTGGGAAATGCATTCCTTTAGCTGTTAAGAATCTAATCACGTAATTAAGCCATCTGCATCAGAAATGCATGGTAGCCAAGCAATGGTGTCATTATGCCTTTCACGCTCAGATCTCCTTCACTGTCTTTTTAGTCAATGTTCATTTTTTCCTTTCCTAGGAATCACAACTGTGCTGACCATGACCACAATCAGCACCCACCTAAGGGAAACATTGCCAAAGATACCCTACGTCAAGGCAATTGATATTTACCTGATGGGATGCTTTGTGTTTGTGTTCCTGGCCTTGCTGGAATATGCCTTTGTAAATTATATATTCTTCGGGAAAGGACCCCAACGTCAAAAAAAGACTGCAGACGAGGCAGGACATGCTGCAGGCAAGAAGGGCAGGCTGGAAACAAATAGAGTCCAGGTAAAATATTCAAGCTAACTTTTCAGACATTTCTGAAATGACAACGTTAAAAATGTTGATGTATATGAGGATAGAGGGAGAAATGCAGTTTGAACACATATGCAAATGCATTTAAAACTTTTCTAGAGAAAATACTGTGAGAAGATTACAGCAACATGTGGCTTGTCCAGTCTTCAAATAAATCTTCAAAAAAAAAACTGTAAGAAACTGCAGAAAATACAAATGAGTATTCAGGACAAGTAAACATTTCTTTATAGCACAAGGAATACAAGGAAATTAAATATTTACTATCTCAACTATAAGGATGGACTTTCTCACCTGTATACCACTTCTGTTTTAGGATAGCAATAGCTACAGAAGGTGGTATAGAATACAAGTTTATTATATAGATCCCCTTTATATATAGAAACCTCACTAAAAAAACCGAGGAAACAAGAAAGACACTGTTGGCTTCAGTAGGCCTTGAATGAAGCTCACACAGCCAAACTTTCACAAAAGCAAGGATGATCCTGCTAGGTTGTAACAGAGTTCACAGATGTTAGGATTTATTGTCAGACTAAATGTAGACAGACCACTGCTACTTCCTCTCAAAAGCACTATCTTTTAGCACTTTCCGTATCTGCCAAGTGAAATTTGTAAGACTAATCAAACAGTTAAGCCAGCCTGAAACTCGAGGAAGCAATACTACGTACATTTTTTCCAGGGAAAAGTTTAACTTAGCAATATATAACTGAGCACTTGCAAACTTCTGTAAACCTATTCCAGGCTATTCCAGGCTTTCATAAATAAACATTTCTCTCAGGTGTATTTGTCTCAGCCTGACTCAAAGCAAAAAAGTGTAACCTAGTGACCCAAAAAACACTTCTTGCTGCTCCCTGCTTTTCTTACAATATATTCCATCCAAGTATTAATGAGCTCTTACCCAATCTACCTTATAAAGTTCTGTACTGCTGTGGCCCAAGGGGATCATTTTTGGACAAAATATTTGAAATCTCAGTTGAGCTTGAAGAATAAAGTCAGCACATAGGATTCTAGCTGGCTAGCTGTTAGTAAAATCAATGGTTATAATTTCACACATCAGAAAGTGCATTTCAGAAACTGTGATGTTATTGGTGCTGGAGTTGTATGTCCACTCAGAGGTTGTGTGTCCCAGCAGCTACACTTAGAGGTTGTGTGTCCCAGCAGCTACACTAGTACAGCAAGGCATTAACAGAGTTATGCTGCTCTCCATTCCAGTGAGCTCATAAGCCCATTAGAAATCCTTACCTGCATTTAATTCCTGTCCCAACATGTAAGATATGCTTTACTATAGTGGATGCACAAATTCAGTCCAGGCTTGCAGCAGTCTCTAATGTCCCACAAAGTGTTTTCCTCTATAGAGCTGAGGAGATAAGTTACCCCATTATGGATTGCTGTGTGCAAATACTGTCTATCCACTTTTATGGGAGATGGGGAAGGAGAAAAACCCAAACTAGCACTAGCCACCTCAACAGATCCTGAGTTAACTAAACCCAGGTGAAAAGAAGCAAAGCAAGGGTTCATGAAGAATGACACAACACTTCTTCAGAGGTCAGCCTATGCTACATGGGCCGCAAAGCATTGATCTGAGTAGAGGATAAGAGTCAGAATGCAGGTAAGCTCTTTTTCCTAAATGTTTGGCTAGATGGTTTGAATCCCAAAAACCCTGACTCATTATTAAAAGCTTTTGTTGAAATCTTACACTGGTTAAAGAGATTATACTGAGAATAGTATTCAAAATGGGCTGGAATGTATTTATATGAGCACATTAACTTTTCAGAGCAGCACTTACACACACCAGCATTTTTCTGACAATGAATGCAAAGCAAACAGGGATGGACCATTTTTAATTCTTCACATTTAGACTGCGTTTCCATTCTGATACTGAGAATGGTTTAAGTGAGCAGACTGCTCTCTGAATAATACAGGTTTATGATACATGTATGACTAAACGGGTACCAGTGGATTTTGTTATCCTGCTGGAGATGCGTTGCATGCGTGACGTTGTAAGTATTCATTTGACTCAGCATGGAAAATGCTGATGTCCTACAGTATTTCTGTCTTTAACAGAAAGAATGCACATGATCAGAACTATGGGACACAGTAAACTTATGTGATCCCTAATCAAGACAGCTTCCACCCCCTTCCCCACATCTTTGCTTATTTTTCGCTTGTACTGTGATGACCTGTACCAGTGTAGGTGAAAGCTCTTTCAGAGCAGAGAAGTACCTCTGTAAGTATGTACAGCTACAGGATACTGACTTCCCTTTTATTCTCTTGACCCATATCATATATCCCTATAGGGACCTATAACCATGAGAAGTTATGTAACAGTGCTTCCTCTCTTTGTGCCAGGTGATGAATACTGCTCATTTTCACCTGACATACGCCCCCGACAAAAAGAATTCCTCTTTCTTCATCAGATAACAAAACCATTAGACATGTGAGCAATACTCACACTGACCGTGGCATTAACACAGTATAGAGAAGAACAATTGGAAGTGAAATACTGCTGCTTCACATGTGGCTGTTTTTTGCTCTACAACCTGACGAAGGTGGAAATAAGGCCTCGCCAGTTTCAGAGTTTATGTCATTTTAACTTAATACCTGAAAACTAGTAATTTGTACTAAACCAGGTTTCTATTTCTCCGAATAAAACAAAGACCGCTTATATCTCCTTGTTGTCTGTTTGTCAAAATGAAATGTCATAGAGGAAACCATCATAATTACAAGTAACTAGAACAAACCACCCAACAAGACAGTTTGTAGAGGATACCTCTGTGCAGCTGGTTGTTTCCCGAAACAATTTTAATGTGAATAATCATTACACAGAAGATGTCCCTTAAGCACAGGAAATGGGTAGCATGCAATCACAATGCAAGTGGAAAAGGAGCTGAGCCACCAAAGGCTCAGCTGACAGATTGTCTCTTGCTCCCTAGTTCTGCACAGCATCATACCTTCCCTCCAAGCCTGCTGTGAATTGCAGAACATCTGGTATGGAAAGCCAGAGATTATCCATGTTTCCTCCAAGAAAACATGTGATTTTTCAGCGCAGTGGCTACTGGAAGGAGAAAAAGGTTGGAGCTGGTAGCACAAACAGGTCAACCTCCCCCAAGTAAATTCACATCTGAATAATCCACACCTGAATAAGCTTACCCTGTGGAACATAACCTGTGTCTTTGAAGACTAGATTGTGACATCTTTACTGCATTTTCTCCAGCAGGACAGCTTGTATGAGTAACAGGCTCCTGAATCTTTCATCTTTGGAGAAAGACTTTTTTTTTTTGGGGGGGGCTAAACAGAAGTTGTTACTACCCACCTGCCCAATAGTTAAGGAAAAAAATAAAATAAAATAGATAGGTAAAAACCCATACCAGACAGAACTGAACATTCAAGGCCAATCCACTGTCAGTGAATGCTGCCAGGCTCTTCCTGTGGAGCTGATTATCTGCTTTTCATGCAGTCAGCATGATATTGTTCATTTATTACTTGAACTATTTTACACTTAGAGTATCATTTAGATGCTACTAAGCAAGAAACTCATCATTTGTTAAGTAAACCTACAAGCCAGGTTTTTATTTATTTTTATCACCTTTTATTGAGCGCACATCAAGGCTTTTCCATCACTGATGAAGAATCACATGTATGTACCCTTCATAGATTTAGGCTTTAGCTAGCTCCAGTGAAGACAAAGAATAAGCTATGAACTCAATACAGATGCAAACTGCATTACAAGAAGTATCATACATGCGTCTAAAAAATATTTAAAATCTGATGGTTACACCAGACGACTAACGCATCAGCTTTAGATGCTTTGCCATCTTGATGTTCTTCATCTTCTGTTCAAAAGGCCAGCAAAATAGAAATATTTCATTCTTCTGGAACTTTAGGCAAGAATTTATGCTTTGTACTTTGTGATTGTCTGTCAAAGAAGTCGTCCTGCTTTCATCTGAGAGATTGTTCAATTCAGACGGTTTATGCGGTATAATTTAGGGAAAGTCATCTCTGTCCTAGCTGGTAATTTTGTTCTTCAGTCTCTGGTACAGCCTTTCTCCTTCTGGCTATCACCAGCAAATGGCACTGTTGCATTTCTATGCAGTCTGAGTCTACACAGTAACACAGATCTAAATTTGTATTACGTATACAAATGTCACAGGTACTTCAGGAAGTTTTTTTTATACATGTGTCTAAAGGCAAAGTTGCATGCTCAGTAAACAAGAGATCTGAAGCTTATTTCTTTTTGCAGCCTGTATTCTAAACACAGCTGATGATCTTAGATGCTCCTATGTTACATAAGGAGGAAACTTGAAACCTCTTAAAGCAGTACAGTTTTCAGAAAACAGCGTCTTGTAAAATCCCTGACTGAGATTTAAGATACAATCCATCTAAACTGAAAATGCAAGGATAACAGTATACCAAACAGCGTTGCAGTTAGAGATCATCTGGCAAGATCTGAAAGATTAAATGCCTGATCTGGTTAAAGTGCCTCAACACTGAAAGACCAACTGGAAGGAGTCAAAACCTGTTGGCTGCTTGCGATGCGCATGCTTCTGCCAGCACAGGATCAACAGTAAGTTTAGCTTACTCTAAGTAATGGAGAAAAGATTTTTAAAGACAGAAAATTTACAAACTCGTATTGTGCAGATATTTGCTATAAACTCATTCTAATATTAACATAAACAAAACTAATAGCTATTGTGCAAAAAAAGTCTCTTCTGCGGATCTCCTAAGAATCTGCACTATTCCCAGATTCCTACAGGAATTTTTACAGTTCCTATATTTCAGTAGGAAAACCTTGACAGCACAAATTTTAACAATATTTTGGAGTAAACGTCAATAAATTCTGAAAGGATTTTTAAAGACACAGGAAGTTAACTTCAAGTCCAGCTTCTTAACACACAAGCAGAGAATTTGACCCAAGTACATCACAAGAGCTTTTACGTTTCTCTTAACTAGTTTAGAGATGAATGTAAGATGTTTTGCTCTGAGCTGTAAAATCTCCAATTCAAAGACTGAACTGCTTCGTGGTGTATATGTATCATGGCATCTGAAATGATTTAAAAACTCATTTAAAATTTTAAGAGGATAATTCATATAACACTTCAAATGGCAATTCATATACTACTTGGTTTGCAGTAAACTATCAGTGCATATTAGCTTAAGAAACATCTCCCTGAATCAATTTAGATTGTAAATATTTATGAGCTGTCTTTACGAGAGAGAAGCCATAATAACTGCTTAATGATGCTTGTACTGTTAGTACTATTATAAAACTAAAGTCAATCAATTTAAACATTGGACTGTGTAATCCTAGGCAGCTTACCATTCAGTAAAACTGAAAAGAAAAAGTTGACCTATCAAAACTTCTGAGAATTTAAAAGAATTTCTTATTTTACATGTAGGCAGATCTGAGACCCTCTTCCCTCCTGCCCTTCACCTCCCCAAAAATATCAGAACCTAAGAGTAACAAGTAATCCCATCATTAAGGCAGTCCTCTGAACAGTAGGGAATCAAAGTTAGATCTTCCTTTTACTTAAATCAGAAGATTTGACCTAAAGATTAGAACCTCGGTAGCCCATATTCCAAGTAAATATTGCAAATATCATGCTGTTTCTGTGACCAGCTGGCCTCTGATCTGGAATACACAAGCTTTTCCCAGTTCGACAATGGTAGGAATTGGACCATTCCCACTGAGTTTTCATTTCAGCATAAAAAAGTTACTAGTCAGGTTTAGCAACTGATTCTTTTACAAGTCTGTGATGATTTATTACTCCATTTAGCAGACATATTTCCCTGCACAGCTGTTCTGAGTGGCTTTTATATAAATAGCCCCTTCACTTTGCTTTCAGTTAGAAAATACTTATTTTGCAACTCTGTACATATGCCAATCACACAATCTTTCTCCTTCGGGCAATGAAAAGGAGCAATGCTGCCAGGTAGAACTGAAGCTTTCACTGGCTTCCAGCTTTCCTCTACCGCAGCCCCTGGAGATTGGATTTTGCCTATATGTTCTACATGGAGTTTGTCCTTGAACACACTTCAAACCTGCTGTAGATCACTATATTGGTTTCCAGGTCTGCTAAATCTCACCGAAGAGGAAAAAGCCAGATTGTGAACAAAACACTGGATTTTCAGAGGCTTCACATAACTAGATATTGTCAACAGGTGATTTTATTTTTCATTTGTATTAAGGCATCCTCAGACAGCCATGGTACGGGTTGTGATATATTTGGGGTAGGACCAAGGCTACAGTTCACAAACAAGTTTTAATACTAAAGTCTCAAAGCAAATGCTTCCAAGTTTCAGGTAAGAGGTCTGTGTTCCAATGTATGTTTCCCCTCATACAAGCTACAGTGACAGTTTTAAGTGTTTGGGAAGTTTAAATATCTGGGAAGTCTTCACAGAGAAGTCAGAAGTCATCCTGGAAAACACCAAAAACATCTTCCTAAAAGAGCTTTTAGCACAAACATATGGAAAACTAAAGAGGAGTGAAAGAGTAAACCCTTTGTAGTCAGTTATGCTGTCATTCTTGTTTAGTTATATTCATGTATGAAAAAAGGCAGTTATGTTAAAAGTAACATATATTGTTTGTGCCAGACATGTACATACTGCTTACAGTTTCCAGGTCTTTACTCAGGTACTTAAAGCAGTGCCCTGACTAACAGCACAAGTAGAGAGTGATAAACATATTTGAAACAACTATTTTCAGTACCAACAGATGAAAATGCAATGGCATTTAAGGTTTCACTCCATAAGATGGATTATCCTATGTGCACGTGAGCAAATTAGTGGTGCACTGTAGCGAGCAGGGATGTCTACCTCCAGGATATATTAAGTCTCCAAAAATGTATCACAAGCATTTTGCAAGGACTGACTGATAAAATGCACATGTACCTACATGTTCCTCATATGAATCCATCAATACAAACATGTTTTCAAAACAAACCCACAGCACCAAAACTGTATAAAATTGACAGACAGCAACATTCTATTTTCACATATTGTATATGAAAGCTTAGGGTGTCAGGTCACCAGACTTGAAAATTTCATAAAGAACGTGATCTAAGTTAAAGACAAAGTTAGAAGAGTCTTACTTTAAGGAGGATGAGATTGCTGTAACTGAATTAACAGGCCCCAGAGCAAGATACTGTGTCAGGATGGAAGATAATTAGCCATTTTTCATCCTAGTCACGAAAGTGTATTTGCTATCTTTTTACTTCTATCAACATTATAGAAAATGTGATTTTCCTCACAATCACAGGAGCTGCCTCAGTAGTTGAACCAAAGGGTACCCATTTGTTTGGGAGACATCTTGGACTGACTGAAGAATTTATCTAATTCAAGTTCCTTCCTTGACACAGGTTGATGCCCACGGAAACATTCTTCTCAGTCCACTCGAAATAAGAAATGAAGTCAGCAGCTCAGACGTGTTCACAAGCCTCAGTGACCCAAGAGCTACCATGTATTCATATGACAGTGCCAGCCTTCAGTTCAGAAGAACCACTTCCAGCAGAGAACTCTACAGTAGGAGTGCTTTGGACAGGCACAGGCTTCACAAAAAGGGACGTTTACGGAGAAGGGCATCCCAAATCAAAGTCAAAATCCCCGATTTGACTGATGTTAACGTGATAGACAAGTGGTCCAGAATGGTCTTTCCCATCACATTTATTCTTTTCAATGTTGTTTATTGGCTGTATTATGTCCACTAATTTATGCAATAACATTATCACAGACTAACTTGTTTTTCCTTCTCAATTTTGTTAACTCTGAAGAACTGCAGTAGCTATAATGCTACATTGTCAACGCAAAATACTCAGCCATTGAATATGTCTAGATTTGAGCTTTCTAAAAAAATAAAAAATTAAAAAAGCCTCACCATATTCAGATCAGAAGAGTACTGATCTGCTTTTACAGAGCATCTTCACCAAAAGCACTTTTTTTTTTTTTTAATTTAAATAGAATTTGATTTAGTCCTTCTTTATTTCTTGCTACATATTGGTAGCTCATTACAGCAAACCACCTCCAAGTAAGACAGTAGTTGTCATGTCACAGTCTTTCAGCCTTAAAAGAGTCTAAAGAAAATTGAAGAAATAAGCATTATAACTCTATTGCATCATGTATCATTACAAAGCAAATAGTTATAACAGGAAATATTTTCAAAGTGTCTGTGAGAAGTATCATTCAAGGATATGTAAGTGAATTCACATTTTCAGTGAGGCAGGGATTTTCAAAGGAGTGAAAGGGCAGCAGAGACAAATCCCACCAAGTTTCCAACTCAGGAGACAGCTCATTGGATACAATTGGAATTCTGCTGTTTCCACAAAGTAGCAAAGTTGAGTTGCTAGAAGAACAATTGTGCCATCTCTAATTTTGTATTAAATAAAACAAATAGGAAAAAAAAGTGTATTCATGGCTAGAACCTACTATTAAGGGAAACTCTAGACCAAGAGTGGTCAATTTTCTTGACTTCTAGGTTTCCTGTGGCTGGTAATTACAACACATTCTCCCAGGAGATAGCAGATGTCTAGGAACAGATCACAAGAGAGTTCTGCACAGGGTTTCCCAAAGTTTTCCTTACTTCCACTGAAGAAAAGGACATACGGTTGAGTCTTAAGACACCCTGGTGGTGTTGGATATACTGCTTCTGAGGAATTGCTTCTCCTCAGTCTTAGGGTTCAGATTAAGCACCAGCATCCTGGCCAACAACCTCTGCTTATCACCTACCATAATCCCAGCCTGGGAGCCACAGGTGAAGTGTTAGCAAGCCACAAGCAGCTGATGAGTCAGTCCTCTCCCATCTACATCATCAAATCCGTTTGCCTTCTCTCTTGTCAGTCTTATTCCTAACAGTTTCTGTGGGGCCTAAAGTCCCCATCTCATCCCAAATTCTATGGAGCCCAAAGGTGGTCTCCTAGGCTGTATCTTCTTTGCTATGACCTTTAACATCCCATTCTATTAATGAGTTGCATGATTTTACCAGCTTAATCAGACATATGTACAGTTTGGGATGATGCAGGGTAAACATTAATCCAATCAAATGGCTCTTCTGATTAGGGTACAACTTCTATGCCTATTCAACAGTTGCACTGCATCAACAACTAAAATAGGAACTGGCACACATTGACCCACTCAGAGTGGGACAGTCTGATTAATTTGTTTAGTCAAATTGAAATGTTTAGATAAAGAATATTTTAGTGGCAACTAACAATACACTTTGGTATCTTAAAAAAATACACAAAACATGCAAAAGTCTAGTGCATGCTAAGCAAGCTGAACTTTTCATAAGTTCAAAAAATAGTCCCAGGAGGGAAGTAGTAATACGCTGTTTGCTGTCCATTGAAAACATACACCCACACCCCCATTAAGTGGCTTTGAATTCAACAAATTGGCACTGGACTTAACTACAGAGGAACTAAATGCACAAGCCAAGAAACTTGCAGGATCTAGATTCCTTTGACCTCTACTTAATTGTATTTTCAGAGGTTTTATTTTTTGAATGCGTTCGTGTTCATTCCACATCATTTTGCCATACTTTGGCTCAGTGTTAATCATTGTATAGCATTTAGGAGACTTCCGTCCCATTACTGGATAGTAGACAGTTCATGTTTGGCCTGGTTAGGTTCTAAATATGGCTCTAAGTCTTTTGAAAGCATAGTTGATGCCAACATTGGCAGCAATTGGCATGCTTATTGCATTACAACTGGAGATGGCAGTAACCTAGCACAAATTAAGGTAGAGGATTCCTAAAACTCCTAAAAAGGTGAAAAAAATAGCTCCCACTACTGGACACCTTACTTCTTTCACTGCAGTTCTCCACTCCCTCCTTCAGTTCCTGGCAGCACACCCCTGCTTGCTTCAGCCTGCCACATGCAATGCTCCGCAGCCAGAGCAAAGGGAAAGGGCAACAGAGCAAAAGTAAAAGCACTTCCATATAAGATCCCTTGGTTTGGGGGCAGGGAGCGGTGGAGAAAGAGAGAGCTGCCTATTGTGCTGGTACGAGAAGGGACGAACACCTTCTCCAGCCCACCTGTTTCATGAACCACAAGATTCAGCTCCTATTTCAGGGAATGAAACCCAACAGGATTTACTATTGACTTGGGGACTTTGGGGCAGTTTGGTTCACAATAATTATGTCACACAAGGGTATCCCAAGTATCTATAGGGCAGTGAAAGGAAAAAAGCATCTAAACAAATGGTTCAATATTCTCCAGTACGTAGATGGAAGTAGAGAGCTGAGAACAATGTGTTCGTGCATCAAATCTTTCGTTTCTTAAACATCTCCATCGCTGTATATGCAGATAGACTGTTCCCATGTCACGCACACCGCACAGCTTTGCTACTGTCATAAGTGCAATAATTGCTGTGAGAACTTAGAAATCACTTCTCCACTCTTTACCTCCCTTTCATGACTCTGACTTCTTTATGTGCTAGAGGTGATGGAGACAATAGAAAGCGCTCCTCTGATGCTCAGAAATATCTTCCACCCAAGAACAAGTTCTTCTTAGCATTAAACAATGCATTATGCAGCCTCTATAAAATCAACAAGCTAAGTATAAACTCGCATGCATTTATCCGTCTGCTACTATCAGTTTTAATGGTCCTCAGCCTCAAAGGCAGTCAGCAACCCACTCCCAGAAAATAGCACCCAACTGTTATACTCAGGATCTTCTAAACTAAAAAGGGAAAACAGCTTTCAAATGTTAACCCCTTCCTGAGCAACCTCTCTCCAGGACAGGAATTCCAGACAGGTTTAACTGCTTGGAGGCAGTTAAAGGCTCAGGAGAAAGAAGGACCATGAAGTCAGAGGTAGTAATTAAAGTACAACAGACCCAAAGCCAGCTTTTTGGCTATACCCAGAAGTAAATTCAGAGAAAACAATGCATTCTGCAGATTTGTAGTCTAATACGCTATGTTAAAAAAAGCTGTTAGCTTTTTTTAACACCAATTGCCTGAAGATATTCACAGATAGACCACATGTCAGTAATTTAACCTTGTTATACCTGTGACATGGAAACATCACAATCCTTCTTACATCTACAAGTATGTGGACGTTTAGGAAAAGCAAACATCCAACATGACATTGAAACAAGAATCTAAGTAATAAAGGAACCTTTGCCTTCTGTTACAAGAGCAAAGATTAGCTTTACTGGTTTTCAACATTTTTCTTCTAGACTGCTAGCATCCAGATACATACAGTATCCAGCTTACATGACATCCAGCTAGCTCATACATAAGCACTAGGCACATGTGAGAAGAGCAGTTGCATCATACAGTTCTAAGCAAAATAAGGGAGTATTGACCTGAGGAAGGGTCATTAACAAACTAAAAACTGCGCAAATGAAAGTCTTGCAAATGAAACTCCAAGTGAGTTTTCTTGAGGGAAGAAAAAAAAAAAGAAAAAATGCAAAAGAAAAAAGCAAAGCACTGTCCTCCAGTGGACAAGAAATATCACTCCATTCCACTTTCCCATCAAGAAAAAAAATAGCAGCAATTTAAATACAACTCAATGGATAAAACTGTTTCAAGAGCAAAGTAGGATCACAGTGGAAGAGCACTCAGTATCTCAGGTTACCCGAGTACAATCAGACTGTTTTATTACTACACGATTTTCCAAGACACAGGTGGAGAAGAAACTACTCTTTGCCCTGGCCTACTGTAGCACAGGTTTTAAGAAATTAAATTCTGACAACATTTTCTAAACAGCAGTCAGTACTCTAGGTTTGTTTGGTTCTTTCTTCCTCTCCTCCTTTTATCACAGGTCACTGATATACAAAGGTGGAGAAAGATGTCAGGCAAAACAAGTGGAAGTGTAGGGGAATGCCTGAAGAAAACTAAGCAAAACAAACTTAGTCCTGTGGGCCTATGCAGTGTAGGTGCTGTCACTATAAGTAGCTTTCCCCTGGCAGCACTGTGGAACTTTGACGCGGACAAAACAAAAACGATTTTGTGAGTGTTGAGCCCAAGAATTCTCCCAGCATTGGCAACAAGAGCAGAGGAGCGGTCACCTGTCCAGCGCTTGGGACGCTCCAAAGTGGTGGGGCCCACATCAGGAGACCTTCGGCATGCAGCACCGCTACAAAACCCAGCCCTGATGTGTGTTTTGAACGGTATGCGCCAAAGCCTGGCTGTTTCAGGAGCTGGAAGCCGCAACCTCCAGTGAGAAAACAGCTTCCAGCTCTCAGCACTAAGTTTTGCAGCAGGGCCTAATATATCTCATATAGAGGGAAGAGCTGCTTACTGCAGATTGACATATCTTTCCCTGAAGCCAGCAACTCCTACCTCCCACAGAGCTCCTGTCAGCACCGCTAATCTGGTAAAGAAAACAGCACTTGGCATACCAGCTTGCAAGGCACATTTGATTTAAACTAAAACCTCTTTGTAGGTTAGACATAGGGCCTCAAAAGAGAATTTTAAAAAGCGAAACTTGAGGATAGCGTGTACATGACAACTAGCACATCATTACTGCTTTTCAACTACCTTTACACAAAAAGCAGAAGAAAACATTCCTCACCTCAGAGCAGTAGCGTGGCAGCAAAGAATAGGCAGTGATGATTAGAGGCAGAGGAGGGACCATGCAGTTATTTATAGGGGTACTCATGTACATTGCTATCTGGTGGAGTTAGGGAGTGCAAAAAAGCACAGCCTCTTCCCACCAAGGATTTGAGTCACTTGACTAGCTTTAAGCAATAAGGGTGAACAACAGAGACTGCAATGCCAAGCTCCCTCAGTGCTGTGTTTAGTTAGTTTGCCTGCCCTTAGGAACCAGGCTTCAAGCTCGGTATAGATAAGATTCTATGGCTAATTAGATTGCAGCTAACTCCCCTTAAAATTTGTGCCGCTGTTTCATGCAAGCTGTGGGTGAGA